TTCCCCATGTTCAAAATGAAAAAACCAACAAACATTCGGTAGACAATTCTATGCAAAAAAAAAAGCTACTTCTGAAGTTTTCTAGTGTTGCAACAAAAGGATTTATCTTGCATTGAGAAGCATCCTTAGTACACTCTTCATCTTTGGCCTAGCCTCTGGCGAAGCACTAACACAAGCAACCGCAACCTTCAAGACTGAAAGCATCTGGTTTCTCACAACCAATGATGTTCCACTGGTATTAAAATCGAGGATGTGATACAAATTATTTTGCTGCACTGAGTTCCTCAACACCCACTTGGCCAATTCAGTTCCCTCACTAACTGCAGGCTTTCCAGTCAGCAATTCCAGCAATATAACCCCAAAGCTATACACATTTCCAGCCATTGTCACCCTCATTGTGTAAGCATATTCTGCGAGCCACCAAACAAAGCTGAAGAGTTTTAGACGAGTAAAAAAAAAAAAAGAAGAAAAAAAGAAGCTATATAATGTCATACAGAATTGAGAAAAGACATCATCAATACATAAAAATTCAATTTTTGGAAATCCCTCAACATGAGAATTCTGAGTGTTAGCTTTGACCTTTGAGAAATTTCACCTTGTAAAATGATGTTAGAGTTCTTTACCTGGAGGAATGTAACCAACAGAACCACAAACTGTAGACAGGCTCCCAATGCTCTTGGAAGGATTGATCACTTTGCAGAGCTCGATGTCAGCAACTTGTGGCTCCTTCAAAGACCTAAGCATGATATTTCTGCTTGAAAGATCAAGGAGGAGAATTGGACTAGAGTTGCATCCATGAAGAAAAGCGAGACCTTGAGCCACTCCAACAGCTATACTGTAACGACTTGCCCAATCCAGAATATCTTCTGTGGTACCATGAAGGATTTCAAAAAGGGTACCCTTTGGGGAAAACTCATAGAACAGATAAGCACTGTCAACTGTCAATACATAGGCCAAAGGGATCATCACATTTGAATTATTAAGCTTGCCCAAGACTTGTAGCTCTTGCTCAAATATATCGTGGTTACCCAATTGGAATATCTTGTCGCTCCAGCACAGCTTCTTGATGACATAGCTTGTTCCTGATGGCATGATTGCCTTGTAATAAGTAGAAAACCTAGTTTTCTGCACAACATTTTCAGGGCTGGCAACTGCCTCCATGGCTTTGTTGAAGTCTATATTTGATCTATGGATTCCATTTGTAGTTAACAGGTTACCTTGAATGACCTGATGAAGGGGAAGATCTTCCGGTGATTGTAGCTGCTCATCAGCAATCCAGGAGAAGCGTCTGGAGACTGATTGAACAATAAGCATAACCACTCCTACAACAAATGCAGCAACTACAAGGGCTACCACAAATGCAACAGCAAATGACTTTCCCTTGATTGAGGAAGTACTTGGTGTTGTTGCATTAATCAGGTTTGGATTTCCACTTGTGTTCACTGAGACATGCTTACTGAACTGAGGAACAACTCCAGAGAGCTGATTATTGAAAAGTATGAGCTGTGTCAGTGATGACATTTTAGTCAGACTATCTGGAATCTTGTCTGAGAATCCATTGTTAGAGAGATCCAAAACTTCCAATCTCTGCAGTTGCGAAAGAGATCCTGGAATGGGTCCTACAAAAAGGTTGCTGCTGAGATTCAAAGCAATCTGCAAATTCGGTGGCAGTTTAGGAATTCTCCCACTTAGTTTGTTTCCTCCAAGCTGGAGTTCTAACAAAGACTTCATGTCACCAAGGGTGATGGGAATCGAACCATTAAGATTGTTGCTTCGTAAGTTCATATTCATGAGGTTAGTCAACTCTGAAATTGAAGATGGAATTGGACCAGTAAGAGAATTCCAGCTGATATTAAGTATTTCCAAATTCTGTAACTGTGTGATCTCAGTTGGGATTTGTCCCCAAAGGTTGTTTAGCTGAAGCTTCATAACTCGAAGTTTGGTTAAACTCCCCAGCTGCACTGGCAGTGTACCGGTCAGATTATTTTGAGCCAAGTTCAAAAGCATCAAATTTTGGCAGGAACCAACTTCCTGAGGTATGAACCCAGTAAAGCTATTGTTATCCAGCTCCAAATAAGCCAAATTCTTTAGTGCTGCAAAAGTTGTTGAGATTGACCCGCTAAGTGAGTTGCTTCCCAATCTCAGCCTTACCAAGCTAGAAGACATCTTTTCAGGTATCAACCCACTTAACAAATTATAAGACAAATCCACATGCTGCAAGCTTGACTGTGACAAAAGATCAGATGGAATCAATCCAGTTAATTTATTATAACCAAGATCTAAAATTTTGAGATATCTTGTGATCCCATCAGGCACTGCACCACTAAAATTGTTCTGATTTGCCGCAAACCGCTGCAGGGTGCTGATACTTGAAACAGATTTTGGGATTTCTCCACTCAAATTATTGGAAGATAGAACCAAGAGTTGCAGTTTGGATAGGTTACCAATAGCTTCAGGAATGGACCCACTGAAACTATTGAAACTAAGATTCAAAGCAATGAGGGAAACCAATTGACTCAACTGAGAATCAATCTTTCCACTCAAAATATTGTGAGACAAATCCAAGAATTCAAGTCTAACAAAATTTTGGAAAGCAGGCAAAGAACCAACCAACCTGTTCTTGCTAATATCCAACAGCTTCAACCCACCAATCCCTCCACAACCACTGAAGAACCCAACTGGGATTAAGCGCAAAAAGTTGTTAGACAGGTCCAGAGACTGCAAAGAATCAATCTTGCACACCTCGATTAGCAAGTCAGAGCTAGAGAAACCAAACCCAGACAAAGAAAGTGAGATTATGGAGTTGTTGTTTGGGCTGCTGCAACTGACGCCTTGCCACAAACATGGGTCTTGGTTGACATTCCATGATGAACTAGTGCCAGTGTCATTGAGTAGCTGATACAGATTCTTCATAACACTCCTTTGATTTTCAGCTAGCTCAGAAAACACCAAGGGATGCAACAAGAAGAAGAAGGGCAAGAACCAAAAAAGACTCATTTTCTTAGACAATCTATCCTTCTGTTTTCATCTATTATATAGGTGTATGCAGTTGTTTGTAAAACATATTTGTTGGGGTTCAGGTTGTGAAAGGGGGACAGAAGAAGGGAACTGCGCAGAAAGGATTTGGAGAGAGGGGAGATGTTGAAGGGGTCTGTGTTTTTCTATGTTAAAATTCATGGGAAATAGCAAGAGGGGATTCTGTTTGGTAGCGTGTCGGGGATGGAGTTGACTGCACCAGTCTTTCTGCTACTACTGCAAAAGAACAACTGAGAATAGACTGCCCAACTGAATGTAGCTTTCCCTTTCCCTTCCCCTTTCCCCCTTCACCACTTTGACCCCCACAAGCACGTTACAACTTACAAGTCCATATATAAAAATATGGTATACTGCTATTCAATTCTCTGCGCTTGCCGTGTCTAATGATAAAACTGAGCAGCCAACTGGTTCTGTGGCCAATTGGTTGGCCCAAGCTTTATGGTTTGGGTGAGGTGGAGGTTAGGCCTTCGAGCTCTGCCACTGCCGTGAACTCCACTAACTTGCGATCTAATAGTTGCGCGCCTCAAATGAAGGATGAAACGTTCACTTTCCTAAAAAAATTTTAACTGCTAACAAATTAACTCTACTAACTTCCTAACCATCTATCTGGTCAAAAAAAAAAAATGATAAAACTAAGTAACAACATAATTCTCTTCTCTTTTTTTTTATAAATTCTTACCCATCTGTCCCACAATATGAATTTTGAGTCATATAGAATGAAATTTTGAAGTCTTAACCACTACAATATCATTTTTGAGAGACAACACTGTAGTTCCATGCGAGTGTGTTTTACTCCAAAATCAAACCTTTATCTAATAATGAAATGACTTTATTAAAATGTTGCACCAAAAAGTTTAATGGCATTATATTAATGCATATTCCAAGTGGCTTAATAAAAATCTCTTATTTTTAAGAATGTTGAAGTGGGTAAAATAATGAAAGAGAGCTTGCCTACTGGTGTGCAATTTAAACTAGAAGCAGATTAATATTAAATTTTAAAGAAAAAGAAAATTGTATGAAGTTGCTAAGTAATTACATATAAAGCAAGTGGAGAAAAAAAAAATCACTTTTAAAGTCATCTGGTATTGGACCTAATGAACGAGAGTCCACTTAAAAATTTAGACTTTGAATGCCACAATTGAAATTAGAAAACACGTTCAAGCAAAAGCGAAAGGTAGAGGAAAGAACATTGGCGGTCAAGTTGAGAAATTGTATCTTGAATTTTCCATTTACCCTTTACAGACTGCTCAAACACTTTGTGTGCGCATTTGTGCATTAATGTGCGCCCATAGGAAACATTTTTTGGGAAAGTATTACAGAAGTTAAAAGTATAGAAAGTTTGGAGAATTTTATCTACGAAAATTTTTTAAAGTTTACTTTTAACTCTTCTATTGTGTAGAGACAAGTATAATGGATTAGAGATAATAAGAAGACCCTATTAGGAAAGTTGAAAAAATATAGTTAGTAAATGAGTCGAATAATAAGAAAGTTTTTTTTTATTTAAAAAAGTGTAAGAAAAAATTTATTTATTTGTAATTATTTTGAAAAAAATAAAGACAAAAAATATTAATTTTATCAAGATAAAAAAAAAAAACTAAATTTGCCTTTAATTTATTACAATATTTAGTCATAAAAGTATTAAAAGATGCATCAAGCATCTATTAATCCAAATAAAAAAAAATTCAACTTCAACGCAAATAAAAGTTTTTTTTTTTATAAAATCCAATACAATTAGGGGTGGGCAAAATCGGTTTTGGTTTAAAATCGAAACCGATTTTGAATTAATCAAAAAAATTTGGTTTTAATTTTACAAACCAAAACCGAACCGAAATTGTTATAAGTTAATCGGTTTGGTTACTGATTTTTATCAATGAATCCGGTTTGGTTTCGATTTTTATTAAATAAATATTAATTAATTATTTTTTTAATAATAAATTATATTTTATTACATATTTATCATATTTTGTTATATTTTATCATATTTTAATATATTTTATCTATTTTATCTTAATTTTGGTTTTATTTTTGGTTTTC